AGATCCTTGAAGCAGAATTACATATATACCTACATAGGAACTGAGGTATTTAATTTTTTTTTTTTTTTTTTTTTTTAACACAGATTTTTTGCTCTTCTCCTTTGTTCACCACACAAAGGGCTTCAGTAGAGGCTACCCTCAGCAGTTTCCATTTGTAGCAACTTCAACTCCCTTTCCAAGGGATAGGAGGAAATGCTGATGCTCCAGTTTTGGTATCAGGGGCCTGAGATGTTGGATGTTTCAGGCCAAATATTAGGTTTTGAGACTTTGGAGTTTGAGAAAAATATAAAAATAAACGTGTATTTTTCAAGAAAATACTTAAGATATAAGATCTTATCTTTATTTTTCCTTTTAATTCTACAAATTGTGTATTCAACTTAATTAGCTAACAAAGTGTAAAGCCAAGAATGGTTAATATTTCCCACTTAAAACCATATACCTGCCCATGCTCACTAAATTCACAGCATCTTCATGTATTCTAAAATCTTTGTTTCACTTCTGTGCATTTAGACATAGAAGAGATGTCAGTATGAAAAATGGCATCCTACTCACACCATCAGATCTTTATATTACTTCAGATACCAAAGACAAAAGCTAGTCTTTCTTCCAGTTACAGCTGATGACCCAGCACTTTTATAGGAAAGTGACCTTAATTCTGTTGTGCTTTGCATACCATGAACAAAACTGTCTGTAAGCTCTACCTGCAGAATCTTTATTGCCATATATATATATATGGGAAAGGAAGAATATAAATCATTAGGGAGACCTTTGTTGATTGTTGTACTACTAGACTTTTGACTTATCATAGGAAATTATAGATTAAACACCCTGGATCTGGAAGTCTGTGAGAGAAAGCAAGCATGGGCCTTTAATSTATTTCTCTTTTTCCCTACAGCAGTTTTCAGATTGTGTCCACTTTCCAAGAGGTCACCTTGCAGCATGCCATTATTTAGCACAAGGGGAAAAGCTATCCAGATTCCAGGTAATCACTTAGACACTCTATAGAAACTCTAAAATGACCACCACTTCAAAAGCTTACAAGTAGCGGGTTGAAGGAAAATATAGATATCTAGCAAAGATGAGAACAAGACTTTAAGTCTAACTTCTGGACCATTGCCACATACGAATCACACATCACCTCCAAAATCCAAAATGTGAAAAACAAAAAAGAAAAAAGCTAAATATCCAAAACAAACCCAGCAACCTCCTTCCCCCGTGCAAGCATACAACATAGGTGTTCTATAAGCACGCAGCTTCACAAGCAGAACTGCAGTACCTCTGATTTATAGGTAGCTCCAGCTGACGTTTAACTGCTGTAGCAGAGATCACGTGCTTACTTCACAGCAGCAGCATGCAGAATCTCTTCTCTGTTTCATCTGCTAAAGCTCAACTGGATGCCTGTTCCTGGAGCTTGTTTAGTGTGTGACAGATGTTGCTAGATAACCTTGCAAACGACACTGATGCTGCTCATCCCTGGCCTCTTTTGCTTTGAGCAGATTGAATGTGTGCACCTCTTTAGAGCAGCGCTTCCGAGTACAGTGTTCAGCAAATCATCTTCATCAAGTTTGGAAGTTGCCTGTTTTCTTAGGCATTTCCATCTCAATCATTTGGCTTACAGACATGATCAAAATACCCTTTGTTGATTTCTTTTGCCCCTGCTGCTTGCCCACTTACACCTTTGTAAGAGGTGGAGGTTACGCCACACACAAAACCAGTAGCAGTTAACTGAAAAGACCAAGAAAGGAAAACACTCCCAATGGATGCCTAACCTAAATTTCTGCTTACTTTTAAAACCATTTACTTGTACCCACAGCACAGTTATTCAGTATTTTAATCGTGAACAGACTGCTACAAATATGCACCAGCTAACATTATCACTTCCCAGAGCACCCAAGCACTCTTAACTCTTCCTTTTAGAGGAGGAAGTAGTAATCCTGGCACGAAGACAAACGCATTTCTTTTCCAGGACACTAGGAAATTCTCAGCATTGCTTCAAGTAAGGGTCAGGACTGAGGAGCCAGAAAAAACAGCACGGCAGATGTCTGGCTTTTGTGCATCTCATACGCACACCTCCATACATGCCACATTTGCTCGCTTTGAAGGCATAAGGAAGAGAGCAACATAAATGTTTTCCAGCAGTCAGGTTTGTATCTTGGCATATATTTAAACTAAAAGATTAAGCTGTGCCCTGTTACTTGCATTGCCATCAGCCAAAGGTCTTGAAAAATTTTAAGCAAGCTGCCTCTTCCTCATTGCAGTTCGACCATCAAAGGGAACACAGAATCCCAAATCTATTTTGGGGCTATATTAAAGGTATCACTCCTAACACACGAGGGATAACAGCTCTTTTACTGTCACGTGAAATCAGAATTTCATTACATTTATATTACTAGCACAGCATTACAAAGGCTTTGCATAATCCACATTCAGAATCCACTGATTGCATCCTCAAAATAAATGTACTGCTATGAAGGCTCCTTGCAGAAGAACTGGTATGCTACACTACTTAGGGTTACTTTTAGCAAAGGAGTACAATTTTGGGCACAATCACACTTCAGACCACAATTTGCCCGACTAAGTTTATCTTACAAAAGACTGAAGGCATTTATAATTACCAGGATAGGACTTGGTTCTTTTATTGCAAGACATAAGGCCCCAAATCATATCAAGTACAAAAACTGTCACTGTCACATGTACAGCACTGCAGGACAGCCAGTGCACTTCACTTCAGATCACTTCACATCCTGCCTAGGCTCAGTGAGTTGGGACACCTGGAGATTTTACCTGTCAAAAGAAGGCTTCTCTCCATGGTCAAATGCATCCTGCAGCTCCTTGACAAGATTAGCCTGCCCAGGCAATCGAAAAAGCCCTTCCTCCTTTAGCCCCCGCTGTCGGATAAAATCCACACACTGCTCCACCAGCATAGGAGCCAGGCGGTTCCCATAGCGCTTTTCGTATCGGACAGTGTCTTCCAGCTTCTGGCCAAAAATACCTGCATAAATACAGAAGGATGTGACTTGGTTGAGGCTTACAAAAGTGTCTGAGCAGCGCTATGCTGTATGTTAAAAAGCATACAATTTGTAAGTCATTTAAATACACAGATAATGAATCTCCTTTCCTAAGGATTTATTGCTCAATTTCACACGATATATCAAAATCTGACATTGCTCTATTTTACAGAAATGCTTCAAACCATTCTTGAAAATATACTGTAAATAGCTTTTCAGACCAGAAGTACAAAATATACATAAACAATACAAATAGGATTTTCTGTCACAAAACTTCCAATTCAGAAGTGACACAAATTTCTATCCATTGCCTCATGGCTAATTACCCATATAAAATGAAATACTTTCAATATCGCTTTCAGCAGCAGAGAAATTATTCCTTTATGCACTGAGGGAAAAGTTTTCTAAATATCTTTTGGGATTTCATTCCTACTAAATCAAATGATAAAGTTCCACACATAAATAAGAGCTCATTCCTGAAATTTACACACAGTTGCACTATGACTTTCTGCTTCAGCAACAATAAATTGTGCATATGGAAAACAATCATGCTATGAAGGGCAAAATATGTCAGACAAACTGCAGGAGACGAGTCAGCTTCTGCTTTTGGCTCTCCCAAAACTACATCAGCCATAAAGTACCAGCACATGAAGAAGCAACCAAAGGTTCAAGTGGGCTGCAAACTGAAGTGGCTCCTCAGTGACACTAGAATGACCTTCAGCACGTGTGTTTTTCCTACTGCAAAAATTAACTCAGGCTTCTACCCTGGGCATGGAGGAATTTGCTTTGCACATGCTGCAGGGTGTCAAGGCAAAGGGCAGCAAGCTGTCACTTCTTCATCCATTGCTTTGCAACCCATATTGAAGGTCTAGGGTTTGTAGTTACGAGCAGTTCCTGTAACACAGAAAATGACTGGAGAATCTTAACTCATGTCCAACCAAGTCATCCAGAAATGTTTCTGAAATGCAAAGCAACACAACTTGCAATTGCCACAGTACTCTCACTTGTAGGTGCCAAACACAGCAGTGGCTAAGGGGACTGACCACCACACAGTCACACTTTATTAGCCCACTTCYTTCTGTGTTGTTCAACAGCCAAAATCCAGCACTAAGCAATGAAAGGAGAAATGGTTGAAATTGCAGAGTGAATCAAGTTTGTAAGAATACCGACTGATGCAAAATATTTGGTGTCCAGGGAGTTAGCCTCCCAGTGCTGACAGAGAATGGAAAATATGTTTTTATTCCTTACATATCCTCCTAGCTGCCTGCAAACTGCCTGTGGGGGTGGTGGGACTATTAAGTGCATCTGGGCTTCTTGGGTTGCTGCTGGTGTATACTGAGGAAGTGCTCAGACTGCTCCATTTTCTATGCCCTCTTTCTCCAGGTAGTGGATTTAAGGAAAAAGGCCCACTGAAAGGTCGTAAGGGAATCACTGTGATTAAGAGAATTAAGAGAATTCCTCATTTTGGAATTGCCCCAAAACACCTTCAGCCAAATGTGCAGCTTTAGGGGAATCAGGTCCAAACTTGCCTCCACAGGGGCCAAGGTTTCACAAACCGAGGCACTTTGGAAGCTACTGTAATGGAGCAACACGTGCCTTTCCAAACAAAGGCACCTATATTCAACAGATGGAAACAAAATCGCATCTTTTACAGTAGTAGCATGAAAAAACTCAGCCGAAAGCAGATTCTCCGTGACTCGAACCTTCTGCCGTACAATCCACTRCTCAAATAAGGGAAACAGCATGAGCCAGTTTCATCACTGGCCCAGGACTGTTGTCCTGGGAATCTTTCAAAACAGGTTTCTTCTTGGTAGGTTTGCAGTCTGAGAGTGTGTTCAAACTTATCATACAAGAGAAAAGTGGTTTCTCTGCCTTCTAAAAAAAAAACTCCACTATTTATTCATTCATGTAATTCAAAAGATTCAAGCTAGATACATTACCATATAAAGAAATTTATTAAGTCTGTTTTATCTTTTTGCCTTGCAAAGGTTTGTACACTGCTGAAGCTTTAGTATCATGGTCCTGAAAACTTCCAAGGCTGGAGCCTGGCAATCTGTCTCAATGTTTGACTGTCCTCATGGTAAGAAAGCTTTTTCTTGTATCCAAACTCTCGTTTCAATTTATGTCTRTTGTCCCTCATTCTCCTGATGTTCCCTGAAGAGCCAAAGAGTTTCCCCYCAAAGTCTTCTCAAGAAGCCCTGCTCTCTCACCCTCTCCTTGCAGGAGGAAAGCTGCAGTCCCCAACCATTCATTCATTCCATTGCAGAGGAAAGAGCAAGTTCTCAAAACTATCAGACTATTTTGAGGCTCTTATTAGTAATGACAGTCAAGAAAAAACCCACATCACTAAATATGAATATATTTTAGAATTACTGCATTTTTTTTYCCTTTTAGAAGACATTTTCAATGCATGTGTAATAAAATGAATAAAATCAGAATATGCATTTTTGTGCAGTGGGAGCACAAAATCTTTTTGCATTGTTACAAATTGCTGATGCACTGTAACACAAGCCACAAAATATTGAAAACACTTGGTAAGTGTTAAAATTTAAGATGCCCATGACTATCGCCAAACAATATTTCTGAGCACAAAYAACAGGTAGCAGATGGTTCACATATCAAAGGTGACATATTAAATGCTGACTCCTTGCGATGAACTGCAACAGGATACTTGCTAAGTTAGGAGACTTCTACTGGGGAACTTAGGATATGCTTAGTTGAGAACAACTGAGAGGCAGGCAGCAAAGCTACAATACTGGTGTAGGATTAGACAGACTGGATTCAGGTCATACAAGACCTTCAGACAGCTGCATCCCATCAGGCTAGAGGAATCAGCACACACCCTGCAATCCTATCTCACAGCTCACAGTCTTAGGGACTTGGTTYGTCACCCATAAAATGGTGATACTACTGTGTCCACCTCAAAAGCATGAGTACCTCCTCCTATTGTATTGGGAAGCAGATACCCAGTGTGGTAATGACCACCGTAGAATAGCCTAAAGTTAAAGGCCTCAGACTTAAGGGAAATCTTACGGAAAATCTTAAGAGTAAATCACCATGACACTCCTTTAAACGCTTCTGTAAGTCCCCATTTACTGTGCCCTGTGTTCTAACTCCTTTGAGCTTGGAATTAATCTCAGAAGGACTTGCTTTGGTTTTCAAATCTAGAGAAGTAAAGACCMAAGTCTTTGGTTTTCAAGTGCAGAGAAGCCATGACAACTCTGTGGCCACATCTTCTTGTCATATATTTTACCTTGTTCATAATTATTCTGTAGTCTTTCTTGGTCTTTTCTTTGTTTAAAGTAGGGACTTTTCAGAACAAAAGCCAAGATCTCTGCCCTTTTAGGATCACCTGTTTCCACTGTTACTTTCTAATATTCTTATCCTATGTCACATCTTAAGTGATTGCTTTAGATATATGATGGATTATTGTTTTTTAAAGACCAAGACATTGACTACCGAGAAGCAAAGGCAATGCTATAACCGACTGTGGTGGCAAAAAGACAGTTACCGTAGTGGCTGGCTGAGGGAGACTAAACCTGAATGAGGACTGTCAGCTATACCTGGTAACTGAGCTAGACTTGGTAACTACAAGCATCTCCCTTACAGGGAAGCCATGAAAATACAGCCAAAGGTTATGGACACCACTTACTCAACTACAGCATAACCAGTATCACAGAAATAATTTCACATGCGCTTTTTAAGTATATTTCCACTATAACAACTAAGCAAGAACACCTTCGAGGAGAAGGAAATAAGAGAGATACCTCATATCTTATCAACACACAAGTTCTCCTTCTAAAACGTAATGTCTCCAAAATCCAGGCAAGCACAGATGAACAAGTGYTGTCTTGTGGTTTGGCTTGCTCTCAGGATATAGATTCAGAAGGAAGAAGCCAACACAAACCCCTTCAGATCCACAATCCAGATCCAGAGCTTGGCTTCCACCCAAGTGCAGGGAGACAGGGAAACATACATGTTTCCAGTACTGACCAGTCATTAGATTTAATCAGCAGGACCTCTTTTGCAGAGGCCCCTGCTACATCCAATTAAGCAGGAGCCAAGATCACACATAACATCAAAGAAGAAAATCACATGATAGAAAGAAAACATTTTGAGTAGTTACTCATTAACTAGAACATTCCCGTGGCAGAAGTCCTCTACGCATTTTGAAAAACTCTATTTCCAAGCCTGACAGATGTATATGAATGCTATGAAAGACCTTGCTACCTTGCATACATGTATTGTGCCTAAAACTGTGGAAGCATTGTGGGGTTTTCAATGGCACAAACACACACTAAGGCAAGTCTACAAAGTGCTGGAAAAAATAAGAATACTAATAGTCAACKATTTCCTCAGTGTTTGGACAGAGGCAGGGGATGCCTCTCAAGTCTACTCCAAGTTTTTGATCTAATAAAAAAGTGAAGTAGAGTAAGAGGATCCAAGTGGCAGTACACAGTTTTGGTTTYTTTGCTTGAAAAGAATTACCTATCTCCCCAGCTCTATCACAGCACRTATGCTCAGTGAATCAGAAGGCTCTGGTTTTCTCAAGTTGCCTCTGAGCAATTCAGATGGTAGCAACATGATTTCAGACAGTATAAAGCACAGCAGACTGTGCTTTCAGTACAGAACACGGCTCAGTCAGACATGCCTGCTAGCTTATGCTGAGCTGGGTTGCTCTGCATTATCCATTAGACATGGTAGAAAGCCAAAGTAGCTCTACAGGTTTGCACTGACCTGTAAGGCAGGTCACCTTTGACCAGCACAACTAATACAGAACACTGAATACAGCTGGATACTGGTGCAAGTGAATTTTTCTAGTTAGCAGATATGAACTGGACCTTCTTTGTCACAGCAAGACCATTGTGTCCATCTCTCTGGATCTCTGAAGCTTCTCTTAAAAAAGGGTGAATTGACGATTTAGAAACAAACTCAGCCCTGCAACTAAAGCACTCCTGAAGCTCAAGGATGGAATCTTCTTCCCAATTCATACAATCCTGCTAAGCACCAAGTTTGCGCTAGTGCACCTTGACCTTCAGTGAAGGGTGCTTTAAAGGGAATTTCTTTGAGACTCAGCAGCCTGGAAGAATGGGGGTACCCTTGAGAAAATGATAAATAATATGATTTCTAAAAAGATAACACTAGTGATGAATTAGGCATCTCCCATGATGGGACTGTGAATCTGGCATCCGACAKCTCCCACACCTGCACCACGTATCGCCTCACTGTGTGGCACAGAGGATTGCCATCTTTCCAAAGCAGGTTACTAATTGTGGGCCATCCTCACCCGAGCAGGTCAGATAAGATCAAAGGAATTGACCCCAGCTTAGAATCTGGTTCACTATTTAAAGCAACTGTCAACTTTAAATGACTAAGTGATTGAGACTGAAAATAACGGAATCAGGTGAAAAGTTTTCTCCAGCTGGTCTGGGAACAAAGGTCCTGAAATAACACAAAGTGGCTGGCACGGCCACATCATATTTTAGACAGTGTTTTAAACTATTTTTTTCTTAAGGACAGGCTGCTTCTCTGTTCTCCGGCGCTGAGTACCATTCTGAGTACTACACAAAAACAGAGGGAGCAAAACTTCACCAAGTGATCAGATAAATTTGCTACCACCTCATTCAAATTGTCTTAGCTTCAAGTCTTCTCCCCCTCCACGGCCAGTGTACATAAGGTCGCTGCCTAGAGTCTCAGCACGGCAGAGTTATCCAAAAAAAAAACAATAGAAAACAAACAAACAAAAAAAACTGTACAACTCTTAAATAGCAGAAACAGCTACAGGCTGGAGAGGAATGTTTCCAAGTAACCCTTAGTCATTCTTCTGTCCCACCAAGGTAATACTTCAATACAGACCATCTTTCTTGACCTTGAAGAACTTTCAGCTCTGTCCCTCTTGAGATTTCTTCTGAAAAAGCACTTCCCTGATGACATGACCCCCACACAGGCCTGATACTTATTTTTTCAGGACATAATAAATGTTCTTCACCATGCATCATGAGTGAAGATGATGACAWTGCCTGTCTGCCAAAACAAACTGTGCTAAGATTCTCTTCTAGCTCTTTCAATGACCAGCCAATGGCCTTCCCTGCTAATTTTGTTTTCTGGATTGTACTTAAGAGATCTAAGTTGTACAGTTTTATACTAAATTATCTTCTTTATGTTAGCTCCTGTACTATGGGGGTTATTTCTGCATATTTTTTATACTTGAGTATACAATGCATGTTGTCTACTATGTATATAAATTGTGCATACTATGTGTATACAATGTATATAAATTTCAAGAMTTGTGTAAGGCAATTGATCTTATCAACTTTAAGATTAACTACCTCTGTGCTGATATCAATGGGACATGGACACATACATTATATATATATGTATAYTTATATACACACACACACACGTGCATTCTGAATCTTGGATCTAGGGGCTTCATAACAGTATTTTTGACTGAAACATTTGCCAGACAGGAAGTGTCTGCAAGACAGCAAATAAGAAGCATGGCTTTCATCATGCAGTGCTCTGCCCCAAACCCTGCAGCATCACTTGGACAACTTTCAGACATGAACAGCTTCTGGGTCAGAACATATTGAGAAACAAACAGCTGATGCTCCTCACGGAGAAGCCCAGGCTGCACCCTGAGAGGAAAGACAGCTCTCTGCAAACTCGTGGGTTAATCCTTTTTTTCAGCCTCCAGACATTTCTCAAATAGTTAAACGTATAAGTGGGAGACATACACATGTCCTCTTGCCCAGTCTGAACTCCAGCAGCTAAAGAAAGCATCAGCTGTGGGTGTGCATGGGGTCTGTGTGCTCACACAGCAGCCCACAGTACAACCTCAGGCACAAATGGTATCAGGTCTGTGCTGGGGCTGCGCTGCGATTGCCCTGGCTCCTTGAGGCTCCTTGACCAAGGGCATCAGCCACAACGCCAGGACAGCACCACTGTACACTGTGAACTACAGCATGGAGACACAGCTTAGGAGCAGGAGAGGAAGATGATTCTGCTTGTGCATGTGTGCTGTCTAAGATCATTTCCCCACACAACATGACAATTTAGCCATTTTACTGGGATTTCCCT